TTGCTGGGAGGTGATGGTTCACTGGGCTCTTGATCGGCAGGGTATGATCGGCGGCCAAGGAAAGATCGTCGAGGTAGACGAGAGCAAGTTCGGGCGCCGCAAGTACAACGTGGGCCGAGTGATTGACGGCAGTGGGTCTTCGGCGGTATCTCGCAGGGAGACGCCGCGATCTCTTCCTCGTCCCGGGGAGGATCGGACCAGCCACACTCTCCTTGCAGTTATTAAGGAACGGATCGCCCCGGGGTCGATCATCATCTCCGATTGCTGGGAAGGCCAACAGCTGCTTCCTGACGAGTTTCGAGCACCTGACCGTCAACCACTCGTACCACTTTGTAGATCCAAACACGCAAGCTCATACGAACACGATCGAGCGGCAGTGGAGGGAGGCCAAGAGGAAGGTACCGCTCTGTGGCCGCAGGAAGAAGCACTTCGCAGGGTACCTGGCTCGGTGCATGTTCCTCATGCACTACCAGGACCTGAATATGAGGTTGGACCACTTCCTGTGTGCTGCAGCGTCGCTGTATCCTCCGGCCTAGGGCCTCCTGCCAGGCGCACCCTGCCTCCTTCACATTTTGCGGCAAAGGAGCACCCTCCCTAGTAATAAGCAGCATTAATAAATCAGGTTAGTACCTTAAAAATCCTAGGTTATTGTAGGTTATCGGCTCCGCATCTAGTTCGTGTGCGCTCTATCCTGCCGTGAATACGTGATGGAGGTTTTGTTTCCTTTGCAGCTCCCCGGGGGTCGCAGGGGGTGCAGCCCCCTGCAATGGAAAGTCATGTGAATAAATATGACTATTTTCACTGTGAGGTTAAATTATTAGGGTAATTTTCTATATTACGTCCGGCGCTCCGACATCGTCGCCCCCGCAATCGGGACCAAGTTTGTCGCTAACGGGGGGGTTAGCGCGCAATAAAACCTATCTATTTGCATTGTATAGAGTGAGAGGAATCCAAAGATACCAAAATCGTTGATATCGGTCATGCGGACGTAATATAGAAAATTACCAATAATATTTTCAAAAGTACATATAATTTATTTAAATAAATGTCTTGATATTTGTAATCATTTTGTCTAAAAACATTACTGATTTGAATGTCAGGGGGGCTATAAACACCTTTAGTCACATAGCTTATTTTTCGTATATTAGAAGGTTATCTCATATACAGTGAGTAACTTGCCGTCTTCAAACTGATTTCCCAGACGACAGCAGAAGGTGTCATCACCAGTATTACGAGAAAAGGCTAATTAAAGCTCGAATATCGTGAGCTGCGGCAAGCAGTGTTGACGTTTGGCCGGTAAAACTGATTTTTTTTTTTTTTTTTTTTGATCGTAGTTTTTTTTTTTTAAATGTATTCCATTTTTTTTTTAATTAACAGATTCATTTTAAAGTCGCTTGTTGATTTTAAGTTTGTAATTAGCTGCTATATGAAAAACTCAGGGAGTATTTTTGATATTTCAAACTTATATTAAAATTAGGGAATGCCTTTAGGGATGGGTAGGCCTGCCCGACTTTCTCGATCGAGTTCCAATAATATTTAACGTGCCAGGCACAAAACAATTGCGTTGAAATAAATCGTTTAACAAATCCAAAGAAGTTAACCCTAAAATAAGCACTGGGTCGGGCCTTCCCTAAATTTAACAAACCGGCCGTATAACTGAAATATGTTTGTAAATCAGATAAGTTCAAAGGATGTGTTGAATCTGACATGATTATTATTCATTCTCTGAGTAAATGGTGTATGTTTATTTAAAACAAATAATGATAATGATAAACCCAGGCCAATTAAGGAGAATTGATGTGATCGATTTAAATAATTTTGGAATAGGCAACGAGTCCGACGAAATTAGGCATCATTTTGATAAGAATTCCATAACAATACTTTTAGGAGGGTTAATCATATATCCCGAAACTGTCAATAATAATAATAAAAAAAAATGCTTGGTAACTGTTTTCTAAATTATGAAACCACCCCTATTTTTGCATTCTTGTCGTGAACAGCTAAATTATATAAATTGATATTAACGATGGGAATTAAAAGAAATAATAAATTGGATTTACTTTTCTCTGAGCTCAAATATAAATTGAATTGGTGGCAGTCAGACAAAGAAATAAACAAATGAGTAAATAGCATTGTGTCAATCAAATGAACTTGTATTTCATGCCATAAGAACCATCTAACCATTTATGTCATACGAACATATTTGTCATTATTTCATTCGCAGTAGCTATGAAAAAGATCTAAGAAGGTTATGTAATGGGAAACATGTGTATCATTATTAAATATTGTTAGTTTTGCACAATTTCACTACGCAGATGACAGCTGGCATCCATCCCCCTGCACTGACAGTTTTCAATTTTAGGCCAATAATGTTTTTCCTAATGTTGTGGCACTTACTATAATTTGACTAATAGCCATTCTAATGCACGATTAAGAATTTTTATATAACAACTGTTATAATTACAATCATAATTAGCTCTCCTTCTATTTATTTTTATTTATTATTTTTTGTCAAATTTGATCAGTTTCATTATTTTGACAATATTATATTGCGGGGTCTGATAGCACTGTTTACCTTTTTCCTCAATATTTGCTTATTCAGCTCTATCTTGGCTGTATATATAATATGAGTCTGCCGAGAATGTATCCCCGTTTGGGGTTTTTTTCAGGGAATTTTTTACATCCAATAAAAATAGTTGTAAATGCAGCTTTCACTATTAGGAGAAACAATTTTTATTTTTTTTAAATTTTGAAATCTTTGCTTTACCAGATATTTACCACAAATATTGTTTGTTCTGTTTATCATGTTTACATGTGTTGTATTTTTACATTAAAGGTCTATGCCCAGGCTTTGCGTACCTTTAACAGTGCAATGATTATAAGTTAGATGTATGTGTTAAGTAATGAAATATTTTCTCTGAAAAGCAATTAACTGTGAGTATGGTTTTATGTACTTTGAGTTGACTTTCGAAAACTGTAACTTCTGCATTTATCTACAGAGTGAAACAAGAGCAGGCAAATCAGAAGAGAAGGAGAAGTGCTACTGGTGGAGGTCCACCACAAGTCCACCAAGCATGACTGAGGCATGTCTGCTGCTGCCATAATCATGGGTCATGAGCTGGCCATGAACGATGAGCCATACGACTCGATGGGGTTACACCCGTTGATGAGGACGGTGATCCAATTGCCAGTGTGTCCATAGGTAGGTACAGTCATAATTTTAAAATGTTACATCAGTTCACATGAGCATAAACTATATATTCCATTGAGAAGTTAAGGATAACTTAGGATTAATATAACTAAAGTTTTCCCTAAGTTATCATTACAGATTTGCTATAGAATATCCAAACAGTAATATTAAATTTAGCCATGACTAAAGTTTAACTTGGCAATCGTTTAAAAGCCATTTGTGATTGAAATTGTACTTTTAAAATTCATTGTAACATTATTTTTTTATTTATTACAAATCTTATAGATCTACAACAGCCAAGCACATCCAGTGTCCCCTCCATCCATTTCTTCCTTCACTCCTGTTCCATCCCCATCCCTTAATCCTTTTTCCTATTCAACCACTACCTCCACTCCCTTCACTCCTGTTCCAGCCCCTTCCCTTAATCCTTTTTCCTATTCAACCACTACCTCCACAAACCCATTTCACTCCAATCCTTCCTCCTTCCTTAGTTTTCCCCATCTCCCTTCTGCATATCTCCCACCTACACCTTCACCTTCCGTAGTCCCCCAACACTTTCTCCAAATTCTTCTACTCCTTCCCCTTCACTAGTCCCACCTTCTTCACCAGTTCCACCTTCTCTTTCACCTGTCACCACCCCTTCACCCTGTATTGTTGAGACTCCAGTCCAGGAACCTCCAAAGAAGAGGAAGAGGACAATACAGGAAGATGTATTTGAAAAAGGCCCAGGAGAGGCAGGACAGCTTTCTCAGACAGAAGGAGAGGAGATTGGAGGAACAACACCAGGCACAAATGCAACTATATGTAAGGACAAACCAGCTGTTGGAGAATGCTGACCAACACATTAAAGCACTGTCCGGTAGGCTTGGACGCTTTTTAGACGCAGGGCACGAGGCATACACGAGCATGTCTGAAGCGTATAAGATGATGGCTGAGTCAATTAGGCGACAGCACAATATGCAATGTTTGTGTTTTATTTATTATTACCATTATTATTGTTTATTATTATTTATTTGTATTTTTTTTCTTTTGTTTTTTGGATACAAGAAAAATACTTATTTTTTGGAGAATTTTTTTGCTTTGTAATATTACATCATAGTCTAGGATTTTGTTTAAATCTGGTACATATATTCTTGATGTTGAAGACCCAAATTCTGTTTCAAGTCAATCAGGCGTTTGGGGACAGAATTATGGGGTTTTGAAAATTATAGTATTTCAGGGCTTTGCGCATCCCCCCCCCCCCAGAAAAAAAAGAAAATAAGGAAGGCCAGTGAGGGCTCATTTTGAAGCTCTGAGATATAACCAATAATGGATTTTGGAAAGTGTTATGAAATATACTTGAAAAACAAACTTTTTTCCATTTATCCCTGAGAATTAGTACCCCCCCTAGACTGTTTCTTGTGCCAATCAGTTGTTTAATCAGAGTGGAACCTCAAAGGGTTTTGAAGCTATGAATCTTTTTATTGGGTCATTCCATGTGAATTCACAGGAGTTAGATTACCTCATAGCTTAGGTTTTGTTCAAATTTGGTATACATATTCTTCTTGGTGTGGAAAACCCCAATTTCAAATTTCAAGCCAATTAGGGTTTTGGGGACAAAAATTGGGGTTTGAATATTTTAGTATTTTGGGGTTTTGCACAGCCCCCTGAAAGGAAAAAGAGTAGTGTTTTCTTTCATAATAACCCCAGAAAGGCCAGTGAGTGCTCATTTTGAAGCTCTCTTTGAGATATGTCCAGAAATGCATTTGGACCAGTGCTAGGGAAAGCATGTTATGAAATGTACTTGATAACATACTTTCCCTAACACTGGTTCAAATGCATCTCTGGACATATCTCAAAGAGAGATTCAAAATGAGCCCTCACTGGCTTTCCTAAGGTTATTATAAAAGAAAATACTACAATGTTTCCTTCGGGGGTTGCGCGAAACTCCTAAATACTATAATTTTCACAAGATAATTTTGTTCTCAAAACCCTAATTGGCTTGAAATTTGGAATTTGAGTCTTCCACATCAGAAGAATATAAGTACCAAATGTAAACAAAATCCTAAGCTATGATTTAATATTGCTATCAAACTCCTGTTGAATTCATATAGAATGACCCAATAAAAAGATTCATAGCTTCAAAACTCTTTGAAGTTCCACATTGCTTTTTCTATCCTTAATAGTTTGATTAAACAACTGATTGGCACAAGAAATATGCTGAATGTGGGGGGGGGGATACTAATTCTCAGGGATAAATGGAAAAAAGTTTGTTTTTCAAGTATATTCCATAACATACTAACCCTATTGCTGGTCCAAATGCATTTCTGGGCATATCTCAAAGAGAGCTTCAAAATGAGCCCTTAC